AGTGAAATTGATTATTCTGGAACACAACGTAATAGAATACGTCATTTGATAAATGAAAACCTTGACTTTCTACTGGTTATAAGTAATATATAATTAAACGTAAGAGAGAACTATTAACAAATCTGAAAGAGAGGATGTGACAGGTGGGTGTGGCAAGAGGGGTCTGATTTTCTATTTGATAGCTCTGTAACCAAACAAAATTGAAGGCTATAAAAATTATGGTTTGTCTGAGCAATGTAAATTACTCACTATAAAAATCTTCATTGTATTGAAACAAGAAAGTCAACCCACAAAAACAGAGCTACTTATATATCAATTCCTACTTGTTTTTACAAAATTTAAATTTTGTTATTATATATCAGGGGACAAAATAGTTTGTGGACTTGATTAGCAGAAACTGCTGATGAATATTAAATTTGATTAGCAATTAGCAACTATTACTTAGCATCCTTTTAACATGGCAATTAAATCCAGCACTAAAAGTTTTATCTCTTTGTAAAGACATCCACTGATGAAAATAAGATGAATGGTATGTTTTTATTCTAATAACACTTCTACTCAGCTTCAAACCCTAATATTTAATTGTGCCATACATGGCATTTCATGAACAAAACAGTTCTTGGTATATAAAGTAAAACTTAAACTACAAGAAATATCAAACACTTCATCTGACTGTAGCTTTTTCCCCCCAAAAAACTTTGTCTTCAAAATAAGGGTGCGTCTTATATTCCGAAAAATACGGTATACAAATCTATTGTAAATGCTAAGTTTAATGAAACTAAGCAAGAAATCTGTAAACAAATCAAACAAGAAAGGGAATTCCAAATACATAATATTTATTTGTAAACACCTAATGATTATAATGCCTTCACTCCAAGTTAATAAATGTTCCTTCAATATTTATTTTTCCTTTTAAATTTATACAAGTTCATACATTTACAATTAGTAATTTTTCAAATATTTAACAGCAAACTGTACTATTTAAAACCACTGATTAATGGTGTACACTACGTAAGGATGGCAGGGGGACAAAATGGTTTGGTAGATTTGTGTTTGGCAGTTTCTGCTAATCAATATTGAATTTGATTAGCAATTAACAAATATTGCTTATCATCTTTTCATCATATTAATGCAACTAAATCCAGCACAAAAAGTCTTAACTCTTTGTAAAAACATCCACTAATGGTAAATGGTATGTTTTTATTCTAATAACACTTTTATTCAGCTTCAAACTTTGTTATTTAATTGTACCATACATGGCATTTCATGAACAAAATAGTTCCTGGTATATAGAGTAAAACTTCAAAACTGCAAGAAATACTAAACACCTCAGCTGTCACAAAATAATGCAACAATCGATTAACCAGAGAAAGAAGTGACTTGAAGATACTGCAACTGAACAAGGTTGCCACAAATTGTTTTCAAATTAGTCTAGTTTATTTTTTTTTGTGAGACCTCATCACTCTCTTCACAACATGGTCTCCTTGGCTTTTTGAAGAAAAAAAATATCTAGTGATTTTTCATCAGTAATTACCCCTCTCACCACAGGCATCCTTTACTGCACATGTCATGAGGTTTTCAGTGAGTTACATTCAAAATTTATTTAAAGTACTTTTTTCTTCATGTTATAACAATTAGTATAGCATAAAATTGTAGCTAATAATCCATATTTTAATAGCATAAAAGTTTTAAGTTCTTAATTTTATAAGCCAATATTTAAAAAAAAAGCCTGAATCAAGACACACATTAGTGATAGAGATTTTCCACTTTCTGTAGCTTGTATTATGTTAATTCAAACTATCACATATTTTCAGTGGATGTGCTTTACTGGATTTTTACTTCCCATAACATATTTCAAGACAATCCATTAAGAAATACAGGAGATATAACATATCCAATTTTGATTGAATTTTTTTCTGTTTTTTTTTTCTTCGCACCAAAACTACGGAATTTACTTGATAGAAAAGCATACTTAACTTTTATGGATTTTTTCGAATTTGGTACACTGATAGATCTTTTCAATCTACAATTAGGTGTCTCATTTGGTCTAAATAAAAATTCACATGTACAAAGTTATTTAACAAAAAACACTCAAACTTGACCAGCATTTTTGCACACACCTACACAAAAAGTAAAAGTGGACCATTTTTAGGTTTTTGTCACTCTGATTAAAGATGATTGATTTAGAGCAGCAAAACTGTAGGGTGAAAGACATGCAGGTACACGAGTACTGGTTAGGCCAAGCAAATTAGATTAGCAGTACCCAGTTCAAGTTTTCAAAATAATCATACGGGTGGATAGTTATTGATTATTAATTGCCAATTTTTAAGCACAAATTTACTAAATTTTATGAAATTCTTATAATTAAAAAGTGTTTAGCATCATGTGATTGTCAGAAACTACTTCTTAGTAGTATGTATAGTAATGTAAGTATATGGGTGTGTTGGGCTATAGATTCTTCTACAGTAGGTGTCTGTGACTTATTGGCAATAAAATCAACAATAATTGAACAGCATGCACTCTACTTGTTTTTAAAATAATATATATATTCAAAACAAGTTAATCGTATGTACAAAAATTCTTTACACTATGGAGATCATAGTTGTATCTTAAGCACTATATTATACAGTTCTCTTCTCGTTGTCAAAAGTCCACTTAATCCTATTCAATTGCTTAGAATTCAGTTGACAAGCCAAACTATTTTTCTCTATTTTTATCATATTAATATCCATGTATAATACACTTACACTGTTGCATGAGTTACCGCAGTTGTATCCTGAACTTCCAATAATCGTCTGCTCTTCGTACTTCCAATAATCGTCTATTTTTTTGTCAAAGTCCAAACAGGCAGTTTCAATTAGTTTACAACACGCTTTAACAAGAAAAATGTTTCTCCTTATCTCATTCAATCTGTTAATCTCACTCTTATCATATCAACCATTAGGCCATTCACTCCCTTGATGGTTAATTTATGTTTTCTAACTTTTCTCTGACCGAACTTCTCTTTCACATAACTTTACTTTTACACTGTTTCTGCTCATCTGGTTGTAGCTATTTATACATCTATCACTTAGGCCTTCTAGAAATATCCATAGCCTCAAGATCAATAGATTTCAAACACAACGTTCGATAGCCTCAACATCAATGAATTACAATCATAAAATAATTAATAATACTACCTACACTAAACAGTCTTTTATATCTGACAGTGATATTAGCTTAAGCAATTAGCATAAATAATGATGCTTGATATGGCTGTACCAAGTGCATGCAGGTGAGGACAAAAACTGTTAACCTAGATTCCATGGTGTTACTATAAAGAAATTTACTAACACTGTTTTAGATAGGTAAAACTAACACCATATATTTTAAAGAATCTGGTTGGTTCTGTAATGTATAGGTCTGTTCCAAATAATAAGGTTGTGATCCTAAAGCTAATATTGGTTACTATCAAGTGTCACTTTCTTATTTGGTGCATGGTGACAAAAAGTCATGATATCAAATCAAAAACACCTGAGGTGTGAAAAAAGGTATGGCCAGAAAAAGGATTGAGTATGAGACTTAAAGAAATGAAATCAAAATTGGTGGCCAAACTGTTATAGCATAGCACTGATAATAATTTTAGAGCAAATATTCATTCATTACTTTGCTAGGCCACGTATTTTGTTTTACTCACCATCATGCTCCAAGTTGAACAAAAAACCCAGCCTGGCTAACTAATGAACAAATATTTGCTGTCAAATTCTTATCAATGATATAAGTGTAGCTACCAGTTAGGCTGCCAATTTTGATTTCATTACTTTAAGCCGTATGCTCAATCTTTTTCACACCTAAAGTGTCATTGATTAGATTTCCCCTAGTGTGAGAAATGTGACATTTTTCTCAAGGCATCTCCCCTTCTTCAGTTTATTTACCACCCTTCCAAGAAGTACAAAATTTATTGTAAATTACTCATTATATTATTGTCATCACTCAGGCAAAGTAATTTTCATAGGCTTCAATTTTGTTTCATTTACAGCCGTCAAATAGAAAATCTGAACCCTCTTACCACACCCCACCTGACACATTCTCAATAGCTATCTCTTATGTTTAATACTATATTATTTATAATGCATAAAACGCCAAGATTTTCATTTATCAAATGATGTATTGTATTACGTTACTTTTTGTACAGAAATATGCTATTTCTCTTTCAATATAAGCTTCATTCTCACAGAAAACACATTAAGTAGCTTGGATGAATTTATAATGGCTCTTGTAGCATAGTTAGAAAGCCAGATTAATTGTGACAGTTATGGGACATTGTCTGCTTTTTCCACATTATTATTCAATGTTCTTTGGTTCATTATTTGATTAATTAACATTATTTGGTGCAGTAGTACCATTAGTATAAAAATGTAGGGTTAAGTTAAGGCTCAGGTAAGTACTTTATTTCTTGTTTTTCATGTGTATTATTTATCTATTATTATAAAAGTAACTAAAATGTAAAAATAGGAAACTCTTTAGGTTAGTTACAGTTAGATTAGGTAAAATAAATAATAATAATAATATAATAAAAATTTTTCACAAGGCACATTTTTGCGAAGAGCTCGGATTAATTCATGGGTAATGTAAGTTGATAACATAACATGAACTCCACATTCCCCAAGTGATTTACAACTTATAATAGCATGAACAGTAGTTAGACATGGTTCAAAAGGCAATAAAACAATAAAACTTAAGTACAAATACATATATATATACAGTTATGAGTTTAAAGCAACTTAGTATAAACAAATGTAGTTACAATTTGAAGTCATTTTGGAAAGAAAAAAAAGGTAATTTAGATTCATTTCCTTTTTTTTTGTGTAATAGAGTTAGAGTAGATAAAATAACTGATAAAATATAAAGTTTTACTAAAAACAACCTTTGAAATGTATTTAGGAAGTTTTAGAGGTTACAAAAATGACATTTGAGATGAAAAGTATTTTTAATCTTAACATGAAAATCACTCTGCACTCAGACTGGTAAAAAAAAAGATTCAATACATTCACGAACACATCTTTATCAAAAATACTTCCTTAAGAAACTGATTTTTTATGTACAAATGACATCTAACGTTTACTAAAAGTTTGCCAAATTTTGTGAACATACACATACTGTATTAAAAGTTATAGTATTAAAACTATATACAAGTAAAGATGGTCACATGGTCGGTTCATGGGACCAAGCCCATATTGAGAGAATTCGTAACTAGCTAAATGTAGTCTAGTCTAGTTGGCTATACCGCAGGCATCCACTGGGTGCATTTCAAATGAACAGACTACTACAAAGTTTGGCAGCATTTTCTGAGAAATGAATATCAGCTTTGTTATATCACACTGAAATGTTATAGAACTTTCACTGTGTTGTGGGAGGTCTTGAAGACAACATACAAGAGAAAGGAATAATTTGCAACTGGGGTTGTCTTGATTCACGAATTGCGATACAAACACAAATATTTTGTGCTCTGAATGGGACCGGTTAAAACTGGCAGCCTGTACATTGCTCATGATAGGCCAGGAAGTTGGCAAAATTCACCCAAAAGGATAGAGACAAAAAGCTCTTCACTAATCAAATAAAAGCTGCCTCTAAAGTTCAGCTAACCTTCCTTGAAGTATAGAAAATGGGCCACAAAAACATTGATTTTCTACTTCTTATACATCAGCTGTAACTCATAAACCACAATGTGCCTATAACCAGCCTGCACACCAAAGCACTTTACTATTCCCTAAGATGTTCCTTTTCATACCTAGAGTAGCAGGTGACCCACAATAGGTAGTTACGACCCAAAGTACTAATCACGGTCCCTCATTATGTGCATTATACGGAAGTAGATAATCTACCATGCATTCCTTGCGCACCACACAGTATCCTGGTTATGACTTACTTTACTTCAAGAAGTAATGTATATACATTATATTATGGCTCCCTGTAGAACAGAACTGAATAAATTGGTGCCTTCCACCTAAAAGTTAAAGCCCCACAGGAAGCCAAGACTTTGACTCGTAAAAAGTGCAGAAACTAGTAACCAAAACTTTTATTCAAAAATAGTTGGGATGAAAAAAAGTTCAGAAATTAGAATGCATTTAGGATGGGAGGAAAATCTGCATTTTCACCACCTAATGTTTATATGCATCAACTCTATGAATGGAGTATACTAGTGGTGGAATGCAGGAATTGGTAATACAGGTTTTCCTCGCATTCCAAATGCTCTCTAATTTTAGAATAAAATATTTAGTTACTAGTATCTTTGTTCAGTTAAATAAAATATTAATCCTCTTTGCAAAGCAGAAAGGGTTCCTTAACAGATAAAACTTTTCTAGAACAAAAAGCCCGAGATAATACAAAACAATCTTATTAGTATTCAAAAATAAAACTTTGGTACTATATGAAATTTACTTACGTTGTCCCTGGATGAAGTGCGTACTTCTTCTTTTCAAGGCGATTTTTACTAGCAAAAACATCATGCCGTTCTGTTTTCTTCCAAAAATAGTAAAACTGAACTAATTCCCCAACAGAACGTGTTCTTACCTGCAGTAACAACAAGATAAAAATTACCAAACACAGTCCAATAAAGTTGCTTCTATTTATTAGTGCCAGATCATGAAAGGAATGTTTAATGATTCACTGTTGCTTCAGAAAATTTTTCATGTTAATTGGCTAATGGAAGGAACTATTTAACATCTGACATGAATTATCAATAACAATCTAAAAAACTTTCTATCCTATTTCATACCACAATTTCAAAAAAATAACTAAATTACAGTAAAAATATTGTCTTCTAAGAAAACAATATCACTCCTTCAAGGTTGTACGAGTTACATTAATTCTAAATTGGTATGAACATAAAACTTTCTACTTCCACATAATTCCTGGAGGTCATGTCAAGGTATATAATTTCTAAAATATACATAAATTCATTTAAGGGAAGCAAAGGGTCATAACTGGATTATTTTGTATTATTATTTCTGTTAAATAAAACATTAAGGTGTTTTCTTTAAGATTTTTTTTTTTCTGTGAAGATGTTTATGCAATTTTGTCATTTTGTATTTATAAATAAATTGTTATGCTATTTTATTACTAGACTGTGATTGATAATGAGAATAATAAAGTCTACTTAAAAAACTTGACAAAATGTTAATGTTTAACCTAAAGCTTTACAGTTATTCAAATTCACTTTAAATTTACATATCACAATGCTCATACCACATTCTAACTGTAATATGCATGTGTATAATTAATACCAATCATTAATTCACTATCTCTACTGTTACATTATTATTCATGATCACCAAAACACAGAGAGTATCACATATAGAAAGCATGGGCTCGGTCCCTGGGACCAACCTCGTAACCACTTTGTGTTTGTTATAGTTTTCATGCTATAAATTTTATATTAATAAGTGCATGTTAACAAAATTTGACATTAAACATTACAATGCTTTCATACACAAAATATCATTTTTTTTTTTATCAAGTCTTAAGGTTTGTAAAGCAACGTTTTTCTCATGCCTTTTTTTCTTTTCACATGTTGCCTATCCAACATGCAAAGTAATTTTCAAATTTCACATGTGAAATCTTTATAATGTCTAGATAGTTATCAAACATTTCTTACAAATAAAAACTTTATATTCTATCTGTTATTTTCACTAACAAATCTCTGTACGGGTTGGGTAGATTTGACCGATCTTCTAACCACCATAAAAATTAGGAAATAAATATAAATTATGCTTCTTTTGTTCTAGAATGACAACAAATTATAAAAACGAAAACATAAACATTTAGACTAAATATCTTAAATCTCCTTACTGACATAAATTCATGAAATAGTATTCAATGAAATTTTGAATGAGAGTCAACAAACTCGATAACATGGCCTTTAACCCATGACCCATCTGGAAAGGGTTAATAAGAGGCAGTATAAATAAACAGTCTACCACATTCAACCTCTATTCCCAAGCCTCACATGTGGCAGAAAAAAAAAGAAGGTAAAAACAAAGAGCAGATTCAGGTCTTCAAGTCCAAAATGTTCCATACCTAAATCTATCATTTATTGTTCATAACCACTTCTGAGTAGGTGAGTTCTCTCAATGAAGCAAAATTATAAAACAAATCTATTATAGCCAGATCACTGTTGATGATAAGCAAAACTTATCATCAAAGTTGGTATTCTAAACCTCATAACTATCACATACTTAAATGAACTATGAAACTTAAAAGCCCAAGTAAAAAATTATTACTGTTGGAAGAGTGAAAAAAAGGTTTCCTTTCTAAATTTTAAAAACTTGCTTAAACACCCACCCAGCTCATCTTACTATTAAAAGAGCATGTTTAACTGAACATAAAACTTAAAACCCTCATTGCTACCACATATGGCAGATACGGTGTGGTTGACATACTTGTTTCTTTACTTTCAATCCACGTTCTTAGAATTAAATAACCATGTATTTTAGCTAACACACGTTCCTTACAAACGATAACCTTCACATATGGCAGATACGGTGTGGTTGACATACTTGTTTCTTTACTTTCACTCTACGTTCTTAGAATTAAATAACCATGTATTTTAGCTAACACACGTTCCTTACAAACGATAACCTTCACATATGACTTGGGGAAAAACAGGCATGATAATATTTGAAAGAATTTATATTTGAATAAAAATATTTATTTTAATCATTTGTTTTGAATTTTGCGCAAAGCTACACGAGGGCTATCTGCGCTAGCTGTCCCTAATTTAGCAGTGTAAGACTAGAGGGAAGGCAGCTAGTCATCACCACCCACCGCCAACTCTTGGGCTACTTTTTTACCAATGAATAGTGGGATTGACCATCACATTATAACACCCTCACGGCTGAAAGGGCGAGCATGTTTGGTGTGACAGGGATTCGAACCCTCGACCCACAAACTGCGAGACGAGCTCCCTAACCACTTAGCCATGCCGGGCCTATCTTTATCGTAATAATTTTTAATAGTTTTATATAAAGCTTTTAAAATAATTTTTTAATTTAAGTATCATTTTATGATACTAAATAATATATAGTTAAAAAAACTAGCAGCTCATAATGTTGAAACCATTATGCTTAAGATCTACTACTAAAAGTGCAACATTAAAAAATAAAATATTCTAATTTACAGCAAAAATTTAACTAACTGGGAAATGATAATATTTTTGGAAAAAAGATGAAATATTACTATTATATGAAGGAAGTCCATAAATAAAGAAATTTTTCAACATTTGTTTCATAAATATTTACTTCAACTAAACCATTCCATATTTCAAAATTTAAATCTTAGTAATGTTACAAGTATTTTTATATCTAAAACAGAATTGTTTTTAAAATAGAGATAATTCAATTACACCACGTCGGTAGAGGTATTAGCCATGTCAAAGTTATCTACTGTAACTAGCATGTGTTAGCTAAAACACTTGGGTATTTAAATTCATTCATCTAAGTTAGTACATATTGACCAACATAATGATCAGCAAGACCGTATGAGTGAGATTTTTTTATTGCTATATTTCTTGGATTTGGAGGGAAAATTCCATTTGACATTAATAACTTTAAATTTAAACATCTTCTATTTATGTTTTTTATATAGGAAGCATGTGACCATTATGGGGGAAGGAATGCCAACTTCAAAAGATAAATATTGCTTATTATCCCTAGCTGTGTGTTTAAGCTTCCCTTCATTTTATACTTTTATTTTATTCACATGAAATCATCAGAAAAAGGTTAAAGCTAATAGTTGGTTTATATCCTAGTTTTTGTATTTAGTTGTATTGTCTTAAAATAACATCAAAGGAAATAAAAAGGTGGTTTTATGCCTTCTTTTCATGTTAAAACTTACACAACTGTTGTGTAAACTTCACACAAATAATAAAGCTTTTTCAAATTAACAGCACAATTAACAGTTTTGGTGCTGGTCTATATTGCAATAAAACAATTAACTTTTTTAAATAACATACTTAACAAATCAGAATTTCTAAGAATATGCAAACTTTTCTTACAAGTTTCAAAGTAAACAAAGTAGCTAACATAAACATTTGTATGCTTAGTCAACACTTTGTTACCCAGCACTATGTATACATATACGTCCCATATGAAACCTAACACAACTTGGTTACACTTCGTTTTGACGAAATGTATGTGTTACAGCATTGCTTCACCCAGCAACAGACATTTTAAAAACATTTATTTATTAAAACATTCAAAAATGAAAAGCAGATTTCTTTGATAAGTGAAAAGGCCAATAACTGTGGATTAAAAGTTGAACTGGCTTGCAATAGAGTGTTATGTAAAACATGTTGAAATATTACATAAGTATTTCTTGCCAAGGCTAGGTCAGCTCAGTTTATGATGACTTCATATTACATTACTGACTTCCTTTAAAACTAATAGTCTCAACAATAACTTTGCAGCCATTCCTTGCTCTTGACTTTAGTCATTCATACATACATTGTAGTATGTTAAATATTTGTATTTGGCATTATGTAGGATGCAATAGTTATTGAAGTGAATAGCTAAGCAGGCTTATCTATCCTTTAGCAAAAAAAAGACTACGACTTTGTAAGTCTATTAATGTTCCAAAGTCCAAGACTAGAAAAACTTCTGTTAATGTTGTTTACACAATTCTTGACAACTTATTAAAGTTTTCAGAAGATTGAAAACTTGCCACTGGTAAAACCAGGTAAAAGGACTTATATTTGTAATCACAACAACAGTCAACTTTGGTTCGGTGAACTAGACAAGTGAGACTGTTACCAATTCAATACATTTTGAATGATAAAAACACACACAGATAAAAAAACACGCATCTCATTCATGCAATATAAAATATACAAGACAAACCACTAGTATAATTTGTTGCACAACAACAGAAGAAATTAATATATCTATGAATGATATATATGATTTTGGTATATGTGTGTACATCACATACACAGTACTGGAAATAATTAGAGAAACAGCCTTGATTCTTTAACCAAATTTTTATATTTTCTCAATTCCACAGTCATCAAAATTCAATTCACCACTGGTATAGATTTCCCTGAAAGTTACACTGATGATTGATAATGACGATATACATTCTACCTTATTTCATAAACCAATTAAAAGAAACCTATTTTTCTTCACTTTAACTCCCATCACCCAAGAAGCTTCCATGAAAGGTGCAATTATTAGAGAAATTAAAAGAATCTACTGGAATTGCAGTGATAAAACACTACATGCTGCGAACTAAAATATAGTATATTTGGAAAATGGTTTTCTTTCTTCTTACTTTCTCTGTTTCTTCATAATAAAAGTGTGATATTAATTTTTTAATCATAGTCCTTGAAAATCTGTTTGATCATATGTGCTTTGTGAAAACCAGAATAACCCTAAAGAAGAACACATTGACTCTCTTTACAAACTACAACATGACAGTTGCAGGTTATTTTCTAACTAATCATGGCCAAGTACATCCTACCATGAATCGACCCTTCTCTGTAAAATTCCTTATCAAAACTACCAATTACACTGACAGGAGATTTAAAGAAGCTTTTCTCATCCAATATCTATGACTACAGATGAACAGAGGACAAATTATGGTACTTATAATTATTATTACTTTTTTATCTTAGCTTTTCTTATTCCAATCATTAATACAAACTTTTGGTTACTGTGGACAACAAGTTATATTGTCACCAATATAATTTTTCAAAAAAAGTTTTAATGCTTATAAAATCAAATGCATGCTATAGAATCAATTAGAATTTATTATTTAAATCGAGTAAAGCTTTGTACTGTCAGTTTTCTGTTTTAGCAAAATGCTCCTGAAGAAGCTGTAAAGCAAAATATTGAATGTTCTATAAAACACTTAGAAAAAACATTGGTGTTATAAGGTCATTAATTACTAGAATTATAATGTATTTTACACTCCAATATGCATTACAGAAATCAAATAATAAATGATAATTTGTTCACTGCCAGGGAAAAGAATGGTATCACGACTGATGTACGAAAACCCACAGTGTGAAGGATACTGGGTGACAAATACAAGTATGGGCTGCAACTCAGCCAATGGTGTTAGAAATCTCAACAAAATTGATGGCACCCCAACTGCTGACAAATACAAGTGTGGGCTGCATCTCAGCCAATGGTGTTAGAAATCTAAACAAAATTGATGGCACCCCAACTGCTGACATTTCTTCAGGAGCAAAAGCTTTTCAGCATATATTCATTTTCCAGTAAGACAATGATCTCAAGCATGCAGAAAGTATAATGAAATGATAACTGGAAGGAAAAAAAAAGAAGATAACGGAACACACACAACCATGGTTTGTCTTGCACTACGTCCCACTATGAAAATTATAAAAACTGTATGGGCTTATATTGAAGATGAAAAAGATTGTTTTTGTTTGTAATTAAGCACAAAGCTACACAATGGGCTATCTGTGTTCTGCCCACCACGAGTATCGAAACTCGGATTCTAGCGTTGTAAGTCCGCAGACATACCGCTGTGCCACTGGGGGGGCAATGAAAAGATCAAATGGCAAGTAACTTGCCTGAACTGTAGGGGTAATATAGGGCAGTTGGAAAATTTTTTTACAAACATATACTGACAAACTTATAAAAACAAGATGTACTGCTCTGTTTAAAATAAATACAAAATACAAGTGTATTATACAACATATTTGCTTTGCTTTTGTATTTTCTATAGAAATTACTGTACTAATAATAAGTGGACCATTTTAGTTGCAATTATTTCTTATTTGTGAATCCTGTATGTGTATCACTAAGACTTTCATAATTATTCCCGATACTATAAATGTTTTAATATATCTAAAAAATAATGATCTTACTTTTCATAAACTTTTATCCTGAAATTTTAGTTTGCTAACAGACCGAATTTTAAGCCAATTCCCATAGTAATTTTATATTTCATAAAAGTCACTAAATTTTAAAAATTATTTTTTTGAAGAAAAACATCAATGTTTACCTTGTTTTGTTGTATTAAATGGAAGTCTTTCCCATAGGTCCGTAGTCCATTTTCAAAGCTGCGACATTCTTCTTCAGACCATAAGCTCATAGTGTCTGAAAATTTTAAAAAATTATCCTAGTCTGCACATTAAAACATATTGAGTGGAATACAAATTTTTTTATTTTACATATACAAACACGGATACCTAATGTTATACTGTTATGTCAAATTTTTAATATTTTCAGTTTTTTCTTTAGTACTTTGAGAGGATTTCATTTCAAACTTATTTTTTCATTTGAATTAACTGTATTTAGATTGGCTGTTTAAATCTTCCATACATCTTAAAAACTTTATTTGAAAAATATTAATTCACGAAATAAATATACATGAAAATTCTAAAATACAGTATCAGAATTATGAACTTAGTGTAATATCTTTTCATACATACAAAAGATCGGGTTTTTAAGCTGTATCAATTACTTGTTATTTTATACAATGTTGTTTGATGAAAAAAGTCTTCAAGGTTGAAACTACGAAGACATTAAAAATACCATAATCATAAATTAACCATTTCCCTGTTGGAATTAAGGCTTTCTTGTAATTTTTAGGTTTGGGTTTAACCCTTGGCTACTAAAAAACCCCTCAGAGTGATATATTTAGAAATAGATGAAACCTAGAGCAGCGAGTTGAATCAAAAACTGAAAAAACCTTTGCAACTTTTTTTAATTGGTGGAGAAAAATATTGTTACATCTTGCAGAGAATATGATCTTGTACTAGTGAAGAATGAGTATGTAGCAGTATACAACTTCGACACTGTAAAATGAATTAGTTATAGCTGCTAAATCAGTATCAATTTTTCTTTTGAAGCACGTTGGAACCACTAACAGTAGTAGAAGAAATATATATTTAAAAAAGGTTCAGTTAGAAGTAAAAATATAATTACAGTAAAACTTGTGCTTTCTTATTGTACTACTGTATTTCTTATTTCAGCTGGAAGTAATTAAATAATCAGGTTTGTACCACACAATCATGGGTGTAAAAAAAATTTAAACCCCGGTACTGAACAATCGTAGAGTCCATTTTGTGAACAGCCATCCAAGAACTTCTGCTTTGCCATTTCCACCTCCATATCTACGTCTTCTTTTTTTTTCCAATTTCCTTCACATTAGAACCTGTCTCTACAGGTTTACTAACTTTAATGTCCTCACCAGATTCAACATTCAACACATGGTCCTTCCCATAAGTGACACATACTCGCTTTATGGTAGTTTTATATATCAGATATACTGTGGCTTTTATAACAATTATTTCATGTGTTTTGACTGAAAATTTTAATTCTCTTTATTTTTTTAAATTTAACAGTGAAAATTTTTCCTAGGATGGAATTCCATCTGTAGACAGAAAATTAACATATGCACGATAAAATTACATAATTTTACACAAATTTGTTGTCAGTGTTGTGGCTAATATTCTTTTGTGCCAAATTAAGCTAAAGCTTTTACAAATTTTAAAATACTATAAAACTCATTTTTAAGCTTGCTATAAATGCCAAAATGATCATTTATGTATCCAGGTTTCTGATAAAAAAAATTATCACACCACCGTTTAAGCTCTAATAGTTGTTCACACCAGTGATGAAAACATAAACTATTTTTATTGTACGTAATGCACAGGCTCAAAGAACAATTAGTGAATTTCCTAAATAACATCATTACACTAAAATGAATAAAAAGGGTGAATACTTAAATGCCATAGTTCAAAAGTCACTTTAAAGTGTTCTAGACTATTGTTTCATATCACATGTAGTGATCAAAATTTATCATTTAACCCTATCTTCATGGGTACCCTTTACTGCGCATGAAACAAGATATTTGTGTCTTGCATTCAAAAGTTTATTAAACTACATTTTTTTATGTTATACTATTTAGTTTAGCATACAGTCTTAGCTAATAATCCAGATTTTAATAGTACATAAGTTTTAAGTTCTTAATTCTATAAGGCAATATTTTAAAAAATTTTGAATTTCCCCTAGTGTGACACACATGACACATTTTTTCTAAGTATCTTCTTTTCTCTATTTTATCCATCATCATTAAGAAATTCATTTTGTAGCATTCAAACTTTTTATGTTACTATAGCTAACTAGGTTACATACAAACATACATATATCAATCCATACTTGTCTTTATAAAATTATTTATTATACTTGTTTTAATCTAAAAGTCAATGGTTTAAGCTGGTTAAAGTGAAATAAACACCAGAAGTTGTATAACTTATGCATTCATGCTTGACAACTTTAGAGATGAACACTTAACTTTTGAAATTTCTCAGTCATACTTTGGATTAATTAACCATAAAGACATTCAACTTATAAGAAAAAAATTATGTGAAAATAACACTGTTTAGACTATCAATTATGGTGTTAGTAAAAAAAATGGTAACAAAAAATTAAGAACATGAGGAAAAATAATTTTATCTACCAAAGATATTTTTTGTTGCTCATTAGTTTTTGATGTGGCTTCCACTACACAAGCTAGAACTTCATAGAGTTTATGGTTGATCGAGTCAAGGAAACTGTTCACGTTGTCTTCTGTCATATGCCAACCATGGACAAGAACCTGTTGACAGTATACAGTGTGAAATAGTTTTAAGATAATTAATCTTTTTCATCAAATTTTTTTAACTAACATAAATACATACAAGGATTAAAAAAATGAGAAATTTTTGTAGGAATCCCATATCCAGATTCCAAGAATAACTATACACACAATGAAACATTAAACAAATGATTAATGAATATCAAACACATTTAAAAGGTTTGTTTATATATATATATACAAACACTAGACATGTAGTATATTCAGGTGAAATTGATTATACATTGAATAACTGAATAATTCCAAAAATGTAATACATAAATGTCATGATATAAAAGGCTGTTTGGTTTAGATATTGGTGATTAATTTATTTTTGTGAGTGAATATTTTATTATTGTTTAGTTTTTGTTATAATAAGAGTTAAAAGCAGATGACTGTAAGAAGTTATGTTAATACTTCATTGATATCGAGAATATAGAAGGCGGACAGAGGAGTAAGTGATAAAGATATAAGTAACATGAAATGAGCAGGAAGCAGCAGTCAGACAGAAGTAGACAGATAATAGCAAAAGAGAATAAAATTGGCTTGAAATTGATCTAACCATTGACATAGGTCTAACATTTAATATGTTAGAGTGAAACTAACAGCAGAAAAAAGATAATAAAAATAATTTTATTCCATCAAATCGTGGTTCTAAAGTAATTGAATCAGCCTGAGTGCACTTTAACAAAAGGAGCAGAGGATTTTCCAAGAAAGAAGACCAAAAAAAGTACAGTAACTTGTGTCACAATTGTAAGTAAATTACAGAAAATACTAGTGCAATAGAAATAGAGAAGATAGTCCACCTTGTCAACTGAAATTCTAAAGTAATTGAATAAGCCTAAGTGAATTTTTGACAAGAAGGAGAGAACTACATATATAGTACTTATGATATCTCCATAATATCTATAGTGTTGAAGAATTTCTTGTACATATGTTAACTTGTTCTGAATACATATGTTATTTTGGAAACAAGTGAAATGCATGCTGTTTATTCATCTTTGAATTTATCACTAATAAGTCACAGACACCTACTGTAGAAGAATCCTAAGCCCAACAACAACATTAGTATATATATATATATATATATTTATACTATTAAGAAATACAACTAAAAGCCTTTATATTTTGACAATTGACGAAGATCAGATTTTAAATTCTGACAATAAACATAAAAAAAACAGAAGATACATAGTATTCTTAAATCCCAAACTTTTATATACCACATATGTAAGTGAAGAAACTGTTAAAAAGCTTTCATGTACATGATAACGTAATCTCCAAATTACCAAACATAAAAAAATCACTATACAGTAATAATTTAGCCTTCAGTAATAATATCTACCAATATTTCAACAGATTTCTTAAATGGCAAACTAAGTCATTTAATGTAACAAATTCAAGTAGATACAAATTAATATGTATTTCATAAAATATTTGCTAGTCAACAGGCTGTAACAATTGTAGTCATAGTAAAAATTATTTTCCTTCAAAATGATCACAAAAACAAGTTTTTTTTTTATGAACTGGCAAAAAGTGGACAAATTGTTGGAAAACCAAATATATAAATTTAAGGTTTCATTTCAAAAATTTTTGCTCCTCCCTCTCATAATAGTAAAAACATGGCCTTCTTTATAGAAACTTTATGAATAAACTAGTTTCTTCACAGAAACTTTATGTATATACTAGTTTCTCAATTTTTTCAACATGACATTCCCCAAAAACAACAAGTATAAATCTGACATATCCTTTTCACCACAATTTTTCTCTTATATCTAGCTCTAAGCAGCAGGTTTGAATGACAAAAAATTTCAGATGAACTCTAAATGTCATGATTTCTCCACTGAAGGTATATACAAGCCAAATTCTCACAACCATTCTATTATAAAGAAAGGTTCTGGAGCTGATGAAAGTGAGAAAAAAGTTGTTTAAGCCATCACTTTAAATACCATATATGTATATACATATATATATGTCATCAAAGTAATGCAACAAGAGTGAATAATTGCTCATTACCAATTATCTATTTCTGAAGTGCTCTAATTATTGCTGGGTTTAAAAAAATCACAATAAAGGTTACAGATAAACCATGATCTAAAGCCACCCCTTGTGTCTGATATGTTCTTGCCATATGTAAAACATACACGTATTAGAAAAGATCTCTTACATTATTCAGAGAAATGTCATTTAGTTCAAACATTATGCTTATCTAAGAATGACATTCGTGTGTCAGTATCTGAATGGACAGAGCAATAACATAAAAAGTGAAAAAAGGTTCACAGGAGTTAATTCATTACAACCTCATTCTTGTGTTGTAAAAATATTTTTACTTTCAATTACAGTTTCTATTCTTTTTAATCCATGTACTTTTTCATTAAACTAAAATTATACTGTTGAGCATATGAATATTTAAGAAAATGTATAAGAATACAATGCTTTTTTCAGATTTCATATAACCTGGTTCTGAACATTCCTAGCCTAAGACAGTGGTCTGTAGTATCA